GCACCCTGGGCACCAGCCAACGCTTACGAGAGCGTGTGGTCTCTTCAACACGGCTACACGTTTCTTTGCGTGACCACCCGAGAATTTTTTCCGTGATACCCTCATGCACCTTGTTCAGATTGGATTCTATGGTTTTCAGTGGAAACATCTTCCTAATCCAGGGTGGTTTCCTCAAACGCTTTGCAGTTTTGAGGTGGCGCTATCGGGATAGGATGCAATATCCGCTTCTACCGAAGACATGCCTGGTGGCGAATGACATCATCGTTGTCTAAACTGTAGCTGCAGTCGATTCCTCCAGGGTCTACGGTACCCGTTCCTTCTAGTCTACTCCGAACCTGACACAGATAATCGTCCTCTCGTTGGCGTTGGGCTAGCAGTCCCGACGAGGTGAGGGTCAGGATGGCTCGGTCTACTGCCGGTGTCTCTTGATTGTGCGGAGACGGACTGGGTACCTCCCCCCCTGCATAGAGCACCTCACCCAGGTCGTCTACCGGCGGTGTCGACGAGGCGGGCGTGTCGACGCGGGTGGCTACGGGCACTGGAGCAAGGGGGTCGACCGGTGGTGGCTTTGCTTTCGGGGCTCTGCGGAACGCGTTCGTTGGTGGGAGTGGCACGTCTCCCGGGGCGCGAAGACGGACGTTCGGGGTGCGCGGTCTCGTCCCGCGCCTGGGGTGCGCGGCTGTGGCTTCGAGGGTCGCAACGTCGGCGAAGGGTAGGGCTTGCAGGGCGAGCAAGTTAGCGGCGGGGGGGGTGGCTAATGGCTCTACCTTGCCTTCTGATGCAACTGCTACCGTGGGTTCCACATCGGGGTCAATGTCTGCGAGCCGGGTTCCGTCTAAGACTGGCCCGCGCGGACCAACGAACGCTGAAGGAGAGCTAGACGAGGGGTCGTCGGGGAACGAATCGTCGACATCACCTTGTGGGTACGGCGCATGTGGGAGGCGCGACAGAGCGTCCAGAAGGACGTGCTGTGCGCCTTCCTTCCACACAAGGTCCATGTCGTATTCCATGAGCCTGAGGCTCCAGCGGTGGAGCTTGGGGCACAGGTCGCGGCTTCGGAACAGCCATGTTAGTGCGGAGCAGTCGACGATAAGTTTGAACCGACGCCCTGACAGGTATGGCTTGAAGTGATCAACGCCCCACAACACCCCCATGCACTCTCTTTCTGTCGGGCTCCTACGTGAATCAGTTCGCGAGAAACGGTGGCTGGCAAAACTGATTACGCGGGGAACATCATCGATGGTTTGCATGAGAACCGCCCCCGCTCCAACTGTGCTAGCGTCGGTGTGGAGCTCGAAAGTGTTCTCTAGGTCGGGGAACGCGAGTACGGTGGGCGAGGCACGGGCGGCTTGCAACGACTTAACCGCGTTCACTTCGGCGGGTCCCAACGTGATCGCCACTTTACGTGCTCGTTTGGTGGCGTATTCACTATTGCGAAGCAGATCGGTGAGGGGCGCGGCTACCAAGCTATACTTGGGCACAAACTGTCGGAGGTAGCCGGCCATACCAAGAAACGTGCGGAGTTCTTCTACCTTCAACAGAACACGCCAAACTAGCGACAGAGTAGGCTCACCCGACTACCCCGTCCTGGGAGGAGGTACGCCGCCCATCTGCCGATCCCACCCTTGACACTTGGTGTCCATAAAGTCGAGGATGGAGCGGTATTCGGCACCGGTAACGTTGTGTACGGCTCGTGGGCGCGCCCACATCGGGCTTCGTTGGGTCCAGGGCGTCGCTGACATCGCCCAGCATCCGTTCCATCTCCTCTCCCCCGGCCTCCGCAAGAAACTCGTAAGCCTCCTCCAGCACGACCACTTCGAACGGTAGTGCCAGCGAAGCGACCACAGATCCTAGCGCCCCCGCGGAGGCGACCGTTCCAGTGACGGCGGCGGTCGCGACAATCGCCATCACCGTCACTTGCAAGAGCGTTGCGTGTTTGTTCATCCATTTCTGCGGGGTTGAAAATTGAGTGGTGTAGAGCAGACGCGTTAAAAAAAACAGAAGGATGGCAAAGTCCGCCTCTGTATTGACTGGCGGGAGCTCAACAAACACCTCGTAAACGATAGTGGAGGTCTGGGGGACATGCAGAACATTTTCGATGTTTTGAAAGGCATGAAATACTTCTCTCAACTCGATCTGGCTTCCGGTTTCTGTTAGATACACAACATATCCACTGAGCTATCAGTCAGCGCTGACTGATAGCTCAGTGGATATGCTACACATCTAACAAAAGTACAACCGGGTTTTCATCCTCCTCCATGGTCATTGCCCGGAATTTCTTCACCAAAATATCCTTCCGTACGCGCGTGTGGTTTTGATACTTTTCAAGAAGACCACCCCACGCTGCAATGCCGTTGGACAAAATGCCCGGTTTACCTCGGAACTCGTTGACGAAAGTCTGAGGAGCGCCGGTAGTAGCCATGTACAGGTTATCAGCTCTCGTTACATCACAGCAAGGGGGAGCATCAACAGCGTCATCTGCACAACGCATCGAGTTCCGAAGAATCTACCGCTGGCCAGCACTTCTTCTTCGGGGCACGTGAGGACTTCCACCAAGTTCGTCGGCCTCATCCCGGACTTCATCTGGGTCGTCCATTTCACGTTCTACGCGCTTTGTAAGTTCTACACGTTCAACAAGCTACCCTCAACGTCTACCCGTCCATAGGGGTAACAGTTTCCACCAGATGAGCATTGCTGAGAAGGACATTTTTAAAACGGCCTTCCGTGACGCTGACGGCTTACTCTGGGAATTCACGCGTGCGGGTTTCGGTCTGTGTGTGCTGCCAGCTGCGTTCACAAGGAGAGTCAAATCTGCACTCGGGCACCTGCCTGGTATCTTCAGTTGGCTTGACGATATTCTGATTGCTAGTGCAACCTGGGAAGACCACTTGGCGACCCTGACAGAAGTTCTGACGCGCCTCCTGGCCGCCGGCCTGTCAGTTAATTTCGCCAAGTGCATTTTCGGGTCTGCATCGCAAGAGTTCTTAGGCATGATCATCGACTGTACAGGCATCCGCCCCGCCCCCTCTAAAACCGAGGCAATCGCCAACATGCCCCTTCCTCGCACGGCATGATGGCGCTTACTTGCATACTCGACGCTCGGTATTTTATTGGCGTTTTCACCCGAGCACTACCCTCCCACTGCCCGACACACAGGTGGGTTTGCCCCAACACAGGTCGGAGTGGAAGTCAAGAGACGTCAAAGGTTCCACCACTGTCACTCCCAGCGCAAGTGCAATGCGAGCAAGCGAAGCTGCTGACCCGAATCCAAGGCCAGCTGAGCCAGCCTCTTCACGGTGTAATTGTGTAGTCAGTTGATCTTGCCGTGTTGGTGAAGTGAACATTGGGTGTGAGACGACTTCTTTTTTGTCTCCTTTGTGTGGGGTTCGCAGAGCATTGAAGGTGCCGAATGGCCGCGATTACGATGAAGGCACCGCATTTGTTTCCCTGAGTACAGACTCGTGTAGTTAGTGTAGTTCTGTCACACGAATGGTTTTTGGTCGGGCGTTGCGTGTTATCGCTTTTTTTGCCCGCCCCTCGGCACATGGTGGCGCTAAGCTGTACGAGGCGATGCTCAGGCCCACAAATGATTTGTGCCCGTCTAGGTTGGTTTGATGTTCGTTCACTATGCTTGCTCATGATATTAGGTTGTTTTGAAGGCGTTGACGCCTGTCTTGACGCCTGTCGTGCCCGGCCCATCGGCACGAAGGTGTAGGTCTTGTCTTTCTTTGGCACTGTCTTAAGGACCCTGAGCACTCTTCGATAGAGGTAGGGTGTCGGGCAAATAACTCGCATGGAAGGGTTTAACGATGCGGAAAGCCACAGACGAAGAAGTCGGACTAGTTGTTCCTTCGCGTTCTCTTGCTGCTCAATCCGTTTGCGCTGCTCATCCATCTCCAGCGAAAGCTGCTTACTCTCAACCCTAGCCTTCTCCAACTGCAGACGGAAGGCATCCGACGATGTTCCCGAAGAGGATCCGTATGCCCACAACCGGTGGAGGCCGTCGATACCCGCGGCTCGCGAATCGGAGCGCCCTGGGAACTCCGGTGATACGGCGATTTACACGTACGACACGCCAATAACTTTCGTAAGACCCATGACTCCAAGAACTCATTTTTTAACCTTCGGCAGGCACGTAGAGGGCGTGCTGGCACGTGCCCGAGCTGCAAACTTGCTTTTTCGAAGTCCGGGTGAGTTGTTTCAAAATTTTCACGTCTTTGGCAGGCACGTAAAAGGGCGTGCTGGGACGTACCCGAGCTCGAAACTTCCTTTCGAAGTCTGGGTGAGTTGTTCCAAAAATTTCACGTCTTTCGCAGGCACGTAAAATGCGTGCTGGCAACTCTACCCGTCCAACTTACTGTTTTCAAGTTTGTGCTGTCTGTGTCGTGTTTTTGCCAAAGTCTTGGTTGAACATATTCCGAACTGTGTATTGAACCATGAGCATAAAACGAAACGCCACACCATCCCGCTCCCCAGGAACAACATCGTCGGAGCCCAACATCAACCTACCCTCTTTTTCTTGCCCGATTTCCCTCTCCCGTCACCCCCCGATTTCCTCTTCTTCCCGCCCCCCTCCCCCTCCTTCTGTGGAACACCGGTTCGCCAAAAAATGTTCCGTTTCGGCGCGCGATGCGGCGTTATATACAGGTATGGCAGGACGTGACCTTCGCCCTCAGCTCGGATGACCGGTGCAGACGTGGAGCAAAAAAGATATCGGTGCGAATAAGTGCCTCTTCGCGTATTCCACTCGGTTACTCTCATGCATATGTTTAAAGCACGCGGAGCGGCAGTAGTTATTTAAAAGTGGATGGATCTGAGGCCAAATTCCGACATGTTTCGAAACGCCCCGAAAAAGGCCGATGCTTCTCCAAATTGCTTCCTCTAACCACCGTAGATGTGTCCCAGGACGCCGGAGAGCGTTACGGTGCCCGAAATCTCCGATGTGAAACGCAAGCTCCAAGACTTTTCACCGGGGCTTGTCCAGGACTTTTCTGTTTTCTCTAGGACTTGATCTCGGTGCTGTTGTATGCACATAACTGAAAACGGTTCCCAGCATAGCAATTTCACAACAGCAACATTCAGGCCGCACGTGTCCCGCGGAACGTGCAGAGCCGGCGTGGTGGGTTGGGGGCGTCGCTTTGTCGTTCATCTCTTCTACGAGTGAAGCACGAAACCACCGAATTACTTCCGGTAGCTGGAATCCCTGCAACGTGTTTAAGTGTGCCACCCCCTAACGATCCGTAGGCTACAAATGACACGAGAGTCGATACACCGTATCACCGTGACTATTTTGAAACCTACACAAAACCTTATCGCCACCACCCCTTGCTCTGGCGCGTGTGTGCGCGGACTTGATCGCTTCCAGTACGACTATCATTCCCTCGCGTGCTTCATCCTACATGTCGCGCCACGAACTCCACTGGAAACCCTCGACCTGGTCCTGTACCAAACCAACTAGTTTGTCGAACGCGAGGGAGCCTTTGGCCGTGGAATGCTTGCTATTGACGTACCACCCCTGGGGCGAATTCGACGTCGTTCTTTACCAAGTACCTAACCAGATAAATCCTCGAAGCTTGGTTGCTGGGCAAAGCCATGTAGTGATGAACAGCGTCTCTCTTGCCGCTGATCTTGGTCCTGACCTTGGCCCGCTGGAAGGCTTCGCCAACCGCCTTCACCATCGCCTTCACCTCTTCGCGTTCGGCCTCGTCGGTTGTCCGCGACGTCTGCATTTGATTCGTGAGTATTGTACAGCATTAGCGTTCTTTTTCTCAAAAATGTTGTGTGTTCCCGCACCTAACCCCAACTCTTCTCATAATACTTGTATAAAGGAACAAATGCGCTCACCTTTTTGTACGGGCCCCGGCCTTGCTTAAGTTGTTTCGAGACAGCCACGCCAGAAGCGGATGCAGTACCATCTGCAGAGCCAGTTACGGGTGCGGCGCTCTTGGGCACGCTCGAGATAGCAGCGCGAGCAGGGATGTTTGTAGCGCAAGCAGCAGTCCCAGTCATGGGTGCCGCATCAGTAGACGAGCCGGTGGCAGGTACGGCGCCGGCGGCAGGGCCAGTCACGAACCATGCGCCAGACTTGCGGAGGCGGAGTTCGTCCTCCACTCTCGCCATCTCGAGTTCCTTCGTCTTCAACTTCAGCTCCTTCTCGACTCGGATGAACTGAACGTCAAGGTCTTCGTCGGTCGTGCTGCTGGCATCCGAGGAGGTGTCCGATCCCCCGCTGAGCCGGAGACGTCGCTCGTCCAGCATTCTCCTGATGCCCCCCTTGAAAGACACTTCCCCCTCCTTGAACTTCTTTATCACGCTAACCGGGTCGGAGCGTCTCGCGTTGTAGATGTCGGTGACGTTCTGAGGGTGGGTGTGGTGTAAAACAGGGGAAGTGTGACAGTTTTTAGCTCCCAAAGTTTCTAGCATACAAAATGAAAACGAACACACGCTCACAAAGCGCTATGTCGAATAACTGACTCACCGTTTTCGAGGTCCTCTGATCTTAAGCTAGTTCATCGAGGCACATGGCGTCCAGGGTGAATCCAAGCTCGATGACGTGCTCGACGGCCAGCGTGTCCTGGGCGGTCCGAAGGGCGTTGACGTCAACGTTGTCCAGCCCGAAAAACGCCAGCCCGGTTTCCTCTAGTATTGTGCCGAATACACCTTGGCTGAGAGCCTTCCCATCTATTCCCAGCGGACCGAATCTTGTGTCTAGCTCCCCTCCGTTGGCGTTCTTGAGGAACGGCCGCCCAACCAGTGCCATCACCGCCAACCACCGCACAACTTCTGCGCCCTCTATGCCGTGTTCCATGCAAACTGTCGACAAAGATTCTTCGGCGGACTCTGTCTGCTTCCCTTCTGCCGGGAGCCGGATCATCATTCTTCCGACGCTCGGTTTGAAGTAGGTGGTCTTACCAACCAGTCCGAAGAAATCCTGGGGGCGCAGGGTGGCTCCGTTGAAAAGCATTGCCAGATGCGTAGCCACGCTGAAGAGGACGAAATCTTTTGAATCGACGCCATCCTCGTCCAGCGCCTTCAACAGCGTCACCACCATCTTCTCACCCTCTGCGACTCCCTCGGACGTTTTGCCGAGCAGGTGCTCTTCTCCACCGATGTCGTCCAATTCGAAAAGCGTTGAAGCGTTCTTCGCTTCCGTGAGACGGTCCAGGCCCCAGTCGACGAAACCGGGGTCGACTTTGTCAATGGCTTCCATCACGCGCTGGCACCCGTTGGCGGACATGGCCCCCACAAACATGTCCATGGTTTCCTCCCTCTCCTCCGGTGTGTTCTCCACCAATGGCACCCTCTGTTTACGGAGTTTTATCCCGTCTCCGACGCCGCCGTTGGTTTTAGCTGCCACGTGTTTTCGCAGATTCCTCGCGTTCTGGAAGAACGAATGGCAGTGATCCAGGGTCCTCTGCACCGCACCGTGGCTGCTGTCGGCACCCAGCACGTGCTCGAGAAGACGGGGGCTAAACCTTGCGTGGCTGAAGAACGTCGTGTCCAACGAGTGCAGGCCTACCCGCCCATACTTGGCCGCGTCCCTGATCCCACATCGAACGATAACCACGGGTGGCACGTTGTGAACAAACGTTTTGCATCGCGCCAGAGCGAAACGCAGCGCGTACGACATGTCCCCTCCGAGCTCGCTGTCGATGACATTGGCGCTCCTGGTATCACGAACGCTCAGATTTTTCAGGCTATGTGTGATGTTGGCGGACCACTGGCTATGTTGTTCTTGCAAGAGCTTGCATTCTTGCAGAGTGCATGGTTGATATGCTTCGAGGAGGTTACCCGGGCGGCCCAATCGGTAAGCACACGTCAACAACTTGCTGACGATGTTGAGCTTCTCTTCCCAGGAACCACGCACACGCTCTGCCGGCGGTGCTAAGGTATGCCCCCCTCTCACAATATCTCCCGTGAATAAGCACCCCTGTACTACAATAGATCGTCGTCGGCGACACATCCTAGCCCGCCTAGAAAGTTCAGCTGGCTCAGCGACCCAGGTTGTGCGGCGAAATCCTTCAAGGACTCATCGTGTCGGTCTGACCAGAAGTTTGCGCCGAGGGTGGCTTCCACGGGGATTTTGGTGAAGACAGCCAGCGACAAGTCCCGCAGAGTATCCACGCGCACTTTGATTGACATCAGCTCGCTAATCTTCATCTTTCTCTCCGGATCTGTGTCATCACCACTCCTACTGGCTCTGTCGATGGCATCGTTCGGGTTCCAGAGCATCCCAGTGACCACGCCGCTGAGAGCCGGTACAACCGAACCCATCATGACCGTATACTTTGTCACCAGATGGAGGATGAACCGCCGAAGATCGGTGTCCAGTGTCACCCTCTCATCGCACCGGTTTTCCAGAAGCTCCCACTGGGTAATTCTGGATTCCCGACCTTCCAGCGTGTATTTGCCGTGATCGACTGATTTCACCGCGTGGATTCGGCTATCGATCTTGACGCCCGTCTCGCTGAGAACCACACCGATGTTCTTCGGGTCGAACGCGTAGGACTTGTCGTAGTAATACTGCAAGGTCCTTAACTCGGCACGCTTGTAGTACACCCCGTCTGAGATCTCGATATCACCCTCTCCCTGGTCAGCACAAAGGCCATCACCCAGGAGTTTGACCATGACGGGTATCGAAGTGTTTCCGCTGGGTTCATTTGCTGCGCGGGAGAACGTACCACCCCTCTCCTGAGCTTTTTCACCACCCGACTCTTTTTTGCTGTCCATCCACTCGCGACTTCCGTCCTGCCACGGCTCAACCAGGCGTGCGGTTATTTTGGTAGAATAGTATAGCTTTGGTCGTTGTTTGTACGTGACCTTTCGCACAGGGCCACCCCCGCTCCCTGTCCCTCTGTCGCTGCCATTGCCGCCACCGCTACCGCTGCCGCCATCGCTGCCACCGTCGTCATCGCTGCCATCTCCACCAAAGTCGCCACCAACGTTGCCACCAACTCCGTCCACGTCCATAGCCTCGAGACGATTGTCTTCAGGAGTCGCAGCGGCCGTTGTTTTCGCTCTCTTTCGTCCACCAACCGGATGATGTTGCGCTTGCTCCGTTCCCACCGCCCTTTTGGACTGACACTGTTTTTTTGGGTGAGAGAGATGGGGAGACGGTGCCAACTTAATCGAAAGGCGGCGCGAAAGGCGGAGCGGAAGGCGGTGGCGTACACAAGTGCAACCGATGTGTGGTCGGACCGTGTGCCGTCTGATCATACTCACGTTTCCGTCGGAACCCTCCTCCTGCCTCTCGGTTACGTGTGGTGTTGAAGAAGCAGCCTCCAACTCCGCCTGTCTTTTCTTCTGGTTGGCCTCGTGCACCTCACGCGCAGCGTCGCGTTTCTCCTTCGTCTCGGCCATCTTTTTGTCATAAGCTTCCTGATCACCCCAGCCTGCCCACACCGCCTCCCTTTTACGCCAGTGATCGTGGTCTTGATCTTTCTTGTCAGCTCCGGTCGGCATCTTTCCCGGAACTGTAGCCGTACGGTTTCTTCCGCCCCGCCTTGCGGCACTCTATGCGAACCACGTGATGGGGAAAGGATACATGAACCAGAGACATTTGTTCGTGACTAGAAACAAGGTTCGCGACCTTTGGCTGGTGCGTCAAACGTTCGTTGCTGTGTGCGTAGACTGGTGCTAGAACAAAATACCGCCAAAGCATGTTTAAAAATACCGCCAAAGCATGTTTACCTGAGACGCCATTTCTCCACCACGAATCGGCGTCCACCTGTATCTCCAGCTGTCTGTACTTGACACGATTCATCGTTGGGGGCGGTGGGTGTGGGTCGGTTGGTTTAAGTTGAATAGGTGGATGGGTGGGTGGATGAGTGTGTGGGTGTGTGGGTGAGTAGGTGAGTGGGTGGATGGGTGGTGGGTGGGTTGATGGGTGGAGTGAGTGGGTCCTTACAACACATGGTTTTGAATTCATGTTTTCATATTCCACTATAGATATTCAAATCTCACTATAGATATTCAGACATTTGAATATCTATAGTGAAATGTCTTGCAACCGCCATAAAGCCTCCTAATGGTCCAAAAATCCAAAATCTTTATGCAGTAGATGTTGGCAAGAGGTTACCTTGAGTTTAGTGTTGGAATCGGGCATTTTCATTTATGTTTTAGATAAATGCCGGGACTGTGAGAGGGAATCGTGCAAATCGACTTATACCTCAAATACGGTCGTAGGGACTGGCTTCGGCAAGGATTTTGTCGCCAGATCCGAGAAGGTGATCGCGCAACTCGGGCATCCCTTTATGCCCATGGGCAGCCCCATGGGTGACCCATGGGCGACCCATGGGTGACCCATGGGCATGCCCGTGGGTAGCCCGCGTGGGAAGCCCATGGGCGGCCAATGAGAGCCCTTCAACCGAACCAGTTTGCTCCTAAACAATAGATTTTCTGCTTTGGAACGGGCACTACAACGGGTACAGCTTACAAAAGAACTAGGGGGAACGATTGGCCCCCCGCCCCCCAATAGGGCGGGCGGCCATCATGCGTGGTATGGCTGCCGGGCTTCGCGAGTAGATGTAGTGGTTGAAAGCCGGAAAGAGTCGTGTTGTGGGGGGGGCAAGAGTTATCGATCAAAAGAGAGGCGAATCCTGAATGGTCTTTAGACCCAGCGCTCGCTGTAAATACTGATGATGGGGGTTGAACAGAATCGCCCATTTTTCGTTGATTGATTTCTGCAGGAAGGAGATGATGCACATACACAGCGTTGAGGGATCAAACGACAATGTTGTCAAGGCGTGTACGACAACTATATGCATGCAACAGGTAGCTTTCATCGGATTAATTGGGTGTAGTTTGGACATCTGTTCGCATGTCTATGTCTATGTAGGCCAAAGTCGTCTGGTCGACGCGTCGCCATCCGAACATTTTAGCGTACTGTCGACCAATGGCTGCGAACGCGTACAATGCTTCAGGTGTCATACCTCAGCGTTCGCAAGAAGATAAGTTCCACCAGAGTATGCAGTAGTTCGTAGGGCGCCACGTCGTGGTGGCGAGTGCAGCGTTCCGGCTAGGACGACGCGTATCGTCGCAGGTAGATGACAAATTGATTGTCGTGAACCGACCGGATGGTATTATTCCGTGTTTCTTTTGCAAATAATAATGCTTGATTGAATGCTATTATTATTGAATCGGAAGATCATGATGATGTTTGATGTTATAATAATTGTTGTACGAATCTGCTTGTCACATCCGCCGTTGCTGTGGATCACAAGACACACGTGGGATAACACAGCTTGACAGGGTGCTCATGTGTGGACACAAGGAGTCGCGTTTTTTGTAGTGTACATCGTGGTTACGTCTAAGAAAGTTGTTGATGTTGTAGGATGCATGATGTGGATGACAGGTGTAGAAGTGCTGTAACCATTCATTATTGTTGCACATACAAAAGTAGGACCAAGATACGATCCGAACGGAGGATCTTACTGATGGTTGATCAGCAAGAGACCCGACTGTGGATGCGTCCCTCTTGGCGCCACCTGTGGAGCTTGGGAATCCGAGACCCTCGGGCTTGGTCTCCCTTGCCCCTTCGGCGGCACACTCTCTCTTGTCTCTCTCTTCTGAGACCCTCTCCTCTCTAAATCTCGACGAAGAGAACTGCCAGCCCTTAGTAGTGGGAAAAGACTACTGCGACCTGGGCCTCCCCCCCAACGAGGAAAGCCTGTGTCCTTAATGTTGCTTATATATATATATGTCCGCAGGCGGTATGTGGAACGTTCGAAGGAAGCCGGACGCAATGTTTCCAACACCGGACAGAAGCCGGGAAGTTGGTGGGAACAGATCCACATGCGCTCTTTGTTGTCTACAGCAAGCAGCAGTGAGTGGTCCGTGTCTCTCTGCATAGGATTTTGGTGTTGTAGATGACATATGTAAGTCGGATAAATGAAGAAACAGACAGTACAGACAGGTGGAACGAAGCAAGCATTGGATGCGGTTGTTGTATACAGTTTGAAACAGGACCATGACCATATTGGTAAAAAGTCACCAGCAAGGTAGTCACGTGATCGCAATCCAACATACAACATTGCTGTTAACGTTCGTACGTTCGCACTGCTTCCTGGTTTGCTGAGTTCTTCCACGGGTACCACCGCATTAGACGGAAGAGCAATTTCTTCGCAGATTCACGTGTGGCACGTCGCGTGGGATCCCGTGGCGAAAAAACGAATCGCCTCCACGTTGGGTCCACCCTAAAATCAAGTCTAATGTGGTGCAACATCCTGAGAAGTATACATTTAGCATGATGCGAAGCGCAGGCAGTACAGTAGTTGTTTGTCTTTTCACAGACAGACAGACAGATAGAAGACAACTATAAGATGCTGTTGGCGCTCTCGGAAAAGAAGTACACGAGCAGGCTATCTATCTACAATGCTATTATATCTTCCTGTGGATGGTCGCGGGTTCTGTCCGCGTACATGAACAACACTACACTGCTGCTGTAGCTGGACTGCTCTCTGTTGTTGTTGTTGGGTCAAATATTCATATTTTCATCGGTTCAATGCGTGGTGCGTGTTGAATCTTCATGAGATCCAGCTTATTGTGTGGCCATCCCTCGCGTATATTCTAGACTACCCGTAGCCTGCACTCAGAGTTGGATCTCACAGGCCCGGGCTGATTCGTGGATCCAATCAGGGGAGGGAGGGCCTCTCCTCAATCAAAGCAACTTGCGCAAGGAAGATGCTTTTTTGGTTTGGGTGTGGTGTACCATTCTCTCGTGTCCCCATCTTGTCTACCACAACCAAGAAGCCGTTGACTCCGGGCGTTGTGTGGTTGTATGGATGTCTGGACATGGGTGTAATGGGTTCCGAAATCCAGCCGGTAAATAAAAAGGTACCAGTACTGCTGCTGCTGTATACAGCAGTACGGGTACGTCGGAACAACAAGAAGAACCACACACACCATGCTTCCAAAAACTTCCGACGCTTTGACAACCTTCCTCTTGCCCGCCACGGAAAAGATGTTCGTCCTCCTCCCCCCAACCTTACATCCGGGTACGAAAACCTCGGTTTGCGTCCCGACCTCTGTTCTGCTGGCTGGGTTTTCGGAACCCTCGAGATGTCCACCGGTCCACGCAACGCTCCTCTCAGCAGTCGACGGCCACAAAAACAGGATGCAACGGAAAAAAAGTCAACCGCAGCTCTGTCTGTCGTCACACGTTGTGACGGCGAAGAACAGAAGAACATGAGGAAAAAGAATCAACGAGAAGGAGGACCAGTTACAACTCACGGGAGAATATTTGTTTCGGAACATGACAATGTTCGTGCGGGCCCGCAGCGAACGGCCAAATTCTGGAACGGGGTATACGCAAAACCAAGTGTGCGTTGGCTAATTTACCGTTGCATCCACAACCTCTGTGGCTGTGCCACCCCTCTCACACTGCCTCTCACTCTCATTCTCCCCCTGATCTTCGCCACTCTCCCCCCCTTCCTCCCATCCCCTTGTACGAAGAAGCTCATCGCGCTATACCATGACTTCTTCTTCTTCATGCACCAACAAGACAGCGGGCGGCGCTGCCCTGCGTCTCGCCACAGCAGCGCTCGCCGCCCTCGCCACCGGCACGAACGCCGCCATGTACGAGGTGTCCCCCGACGGCAGTCCCATGACGCTCACCGCAGCGCTAGAGGTGGCCGGCGCCGGCGACATCATATCTTTGGCAGACGGGATCTACCGCGAGCCGATCGTGACGATGAACGCCGGCGTGGAGGGCAACCCTCTCGTGATCACGGGCGGCAGAGGCGCCATCATCAACTACTTCAGCGGCGACAGGTCTCTGATGTGGTCCCAGAAGGTCGTCGACATCCGCCACTCGTACGTCACTCTGGAGGTGAGACTGCTGTAGGATGCAAGCGAGGGGGTGCGTCGTGCAACAGCAGTATATAGTCGGTGGATTTGGTGGGTGTTGGCTGTCTCTTCCTTTTCCCTTCCGATTGCCCACTACGTGACAGACCATACAAGGTGCAGGTGCGCACCACACTTTTTTCGAAACTTCGATATTTTTTCATACCCCTTGTGTGACGAGGGCGGGTGACACGGAAGTACTGCTGTACTGCTGTAGCGGGACGGATTGCCTTCAAACTATGGATCTGAGCAGCCCTGGCGATGTGCTGTTGCCGGATACAGCAGCAGCACACAGACTGGGGAGCAACAGCAGCTGCAGTGTGGTAGTGTTGCGTGGAGGTTGGCGACCCAGACGGCTGTTTGGCATATTTTAGATATACCGCGACCCGCCTCTACTCCGTTGGCTGCAAACGATTACCCTCGCCCCGCACGAAGATACTCTCCCAAATACCCAAATACGTCCACTTACGTTGTGGTCCGTTCCGTGTCCGATCTGGTGTACCTTCATCTCAACTGTTTGCTGCTGTTGTGTGCTGCGCAGCGGTTTCCCCAGTCGCGGACGTTTCTTTTTGTGGCATATGTAGTTACAGTGGAGGCTACGGTTTGAGAGAGGGGTGTGCATGACCAAGAAGACCTCTCTTGAACACGACCTTCTCTAACAGGGTCTAGCCTGATATGAAATGTATATTTTATTTGTGTTGCACAACAATTTTGTTCGTTATTTGTAGGCCCGTACCCAGTGTGATTCCTCCTTATTTTTGGTGCGAATCACAACACAGTAGCAGCAGCAAACAGGCACCAGAGTAGCAAATACTAATAGATTAGCAAAAACTAATAATAGATGTTATTCCGTGGTCTCCAAGGTGTACAGCAGTGTATTCTGGCATGGATGGGTGGTTTGTAGACAGTGGGGGGGGGGGGGGGCGTACTCTTACGTTTTGTACGCCTTAGCGGTTAGACCATTGACCACGCGTCCTGGACAGGACGGAGCGTTGTTCCCACAGGACCGATCACCGATGGCTAATTATTTTCCTTCCTACTTTGCCTACTACTGGGAAGATACCTCACGAACAGATGATTGTCTTACGCAATTTTCAAATCCCCTGCTTTCAAGGTTTGACTTGCTGCTGTGTTTGGCTCGAGTTGACCATACATAACGCTTGGGCGTTGCAATTTTTTTATTGCTGGACGAATTTAACAGGCGCACGGTGGGTTAACAGTTTGACTGTTTACACGACTCATCAACAATAATACTATTTGGTTGTGACCCCAAACAGCATCTCATCTAGAATCAATCGTGTACTTGACTTTCCTTGCTAGCGGTTGACCCAAGACAACCGGTGGTATAGCTTCCAATTTGATGGTTGCTATTCCTTTCACCGTATGGTATGCATTTTAGATACACATTTTTTGTTCGCCTTTCGTCCTCTTTTACTTCTCCGCTGAGTACTTGTATTCATGCTCTGTTGCTACATGTCGAGTCCGTTTTCGACTTTTGTTGCTTGGCGCGTTTGTTCGTACTCGGTTTTTTGCTTTCGTCACTATCGCGTTTGTTTCCGTTTGTTTGCGGATGGATGTGCTTTTCAGATGACTGCTTTCCAGCACGCGCGATGCTCAGACCATGTTTTGATCTGTATGCGGAAATAATTTCATGACATTATGGTACTTCCGTCTGCTCGATACACTAGAGGGTTTGTTTCAGTGACGACAAAGGAATTTGTTTCCCCAAGAAAAAAAAAATCAGCCAGTTTCTAAACTGTGGTGGAGGTTTCTGACGTTCATGGTACTGCTTCAAATGGGCGAGGTGCACGGATATTTCCCGCGCATCGTTCCTTCATTTTACACGAGAAACAACCGGTGATAGTTGAGAGCTAACGATAAATGGCCCTCTCCATGGCAAAAGCAGTTTCGGATTTGGTCCGTCAGTGTCCTGGAATGGCTTGTAGCACTTGTTGACCAGGTTTGGACACTGAATACTACGGCAACTTTTTGTTTTTCGCAGCTTGCTTTTCAGCACGTTCCGTCAAGTTTCGACGCGCGAGTTCGAACGCGATTTGCAGATTGTCTCGTGTTTGTTGAGCAAAACTCTCGGTATCGGCGGTTGTCTCGACGTGTGGTATCCTAAGAATTACATGTACAGGTGAGAGTGGTTGGCGACCGAACATCAAGAAAAACGGTGTCTCATGCATGGCTGTACTGAACGATGTGTTTTACGCTAGTTGTACCATCGGCAAGAGTCCCGCCCAGTTATTTCGCTCCATAGAACTGTGCATCGCCAGCATTGCGTGCATTGTGGAGTGCTCTCGTTCTGACACTGAATTGCCTTGTGGCCGATACGGTGTCGTCCGGGTTTTCTCGTACCCGAGGATTTCCTGTGACTGGAAAATTATCTTGTTTTCGAATTCGGTGCCTTGATCAGAGTGCAACATTTCTGGTGGTCCAAACACGCTTATTATCCAGTCAAATATTGCCGTAGCTACCGTTTCAGCAGACTTGTTCGGAAATGCGAAGGGAGTGAGATGGTCCATCATAGACAGGACATACGTGCACTTTTCACCTCCTGCTGATTCTGATAGCGCTTTGTACTCTACCAGATCAACCGATATTCGTTCAAACGGTCGTTGTACAGGTACATGACCTGTCCGTAACTTCGGACGGCGGTGGGCCGTTTTCCTACGCTGACAAGCTTGGCACTCTCCACCATAGATTTCCACCAGTATCTTTAACGAATTTTTTCGTACGTTGGTCGGTACGTGAGGTGTCCTCCCGAAAGGGCATGATCATAATCCGATCCTCACCAAGACGTATTCCAGCTGATGAGAGAATGTGTCATAAGTTTTTCACCGTATTTGGTGGTACGCGCTTTGAATGTCACAAACAGTACGATTTCCGAATCAATTTTTGTATTGATCGTGGTTCTGTAGTCCACTCAGAACCGGGGAGAGCCGTCAGCCTTTGCTACCAACGTCGTTACCGCTGATCCCCACGGGCTTGGTCGTTGTTCAACAATTCCCGCTTTTTCCATTTCGTAAACGCATTTATCGATCACCTCCTGCACGCGTGGGTTTGCTTGGTGCGGAGCCCTATTTACAGGTTTTGTACCTGGTTCTAGCGGAAAATTAGCTTCCGCAATAGAAGGTACTGGGTAGAGAGAGATTGGAACGGTTTTTAATGTGAAGTTAACAACAACAACAACAACAACAACAGTACACCAACCTAGTTCGTCAGGCGTTTATGAGAGAACTGAACGATATTTCGTACACAATTGCGGTACTTCTTCACATAGAGATTCTGTAGGTCTTGACGGTGTTTGGCTGTCTCTTCTTTACTCGTTTGAACACTGCTCGCTGTCTGCGGCACTGTTTTCACGGGAGAGATGTGCCCTACAAGCGTGTTTTTCTTGAGGTACACTAGTCTTCAGTTGTGACTATGCGTGGTTCTACTAAAACCGGTGTTGTTTCTACCGGAGCTTCGAGTGCATGTACTTGCACTGCTATTTCATGTTGGGCAGGAACGCAGCATTTCTTGCCGAGATAGACAGGCACTGGTTCTGTATCACCGTCTATAACTACTATGGAGTAAATACTTTCGTCTGCCGATGCGGTTGCGGGCTGGTTTGTTTTTCGGTCGCGGGTATTTACTTTTGAATGACAGCTGTTCTGCTTGCCAATCTAACACAGCACCGAATGCCCCCATGACACTTTTGTCTGGCAACATGTTATCGGGTCCCAACGACGGCAACACTAGTGCTTCGACAGGAATCGTTATTTCTACCAGTGTTTATTCAAAACGAGTACCCTCTGATTTCAAGAGTATTAATACTTCCGTGTTTTTCAGCGTTTGGTGACGACGCATAAATTGTGCAGACAGACATGGATGTTGTCGGCAGTCAACGTTCTCGACCTATTGTTTCGTTGTTGTTGTTGTCTTCACATTATTAGCCCTTTTGAGTCTTCAGGCGTTCTGACTGATAATTGACTGATCATTTGCAAATATATGCTGGTCTAGTGGCAAGTCGTGGAGTTACCGCCCAGCAGCCCTTCGCGCCGTCTGACAGCGGGTAAATATCAAGGTCTCGGGAATGGGGCCAATCAATGGCAAATCATGAAATCTCTCACGTATGTACATGAACGAACGTGTGTGTGCATACATACATACATACATACATACATACATACATACATACATACATACATACATACATACATACATACACATACATACACATACATACATACATACATACATACATACATACATACATACATACATACATACATACATACTACATACATACATGCATGTGTTCTTTCGTAGCACACTCGCACGAACGTAGGAAGCCACAACTGCAAAGAGCAGAGGGCAGCAAAAGGGAGGAGTATTGCAAGCCCTAGCGAAGCCCAGATATCGAGAACACCGTGTGGTATGCCGCATCTCTCAACAATTTGAAAGTGGTTCCCAAGATCCAGCAGTCAATGTGTCAGCAGCTACAACGAACGCTACAGCACTACTACTTTGCTGTAGACGAGTAAAACAAATCAGCAACACATGCACACTCGTAGCGCCACACATACCCTCGCCCGAACCTAGGAAACCACGAGAGGTACAGGTGTGTGCTGGTGGATGGGCTTGTTGTTTGAAAAACACAAGAGCTCTAGAGATGTGGCAGGGGACATTTCGAGGGGGGACAGAGAACAGGGAAGTACTGATCATTTACAATGTGCCGAAAATATGTTGGCTTTGAGCGTGAAACGTTTCGTGCTAGCGTGTGCCTGGTCTACCGGGTTGTACTGCTGCCGGTCAGGGTTTGGGTTGACCGCGGTGCTGTTCGGTGTGCCAGGGTGTTGCATTGCCCCTGGAATCCGTGGTCTGCATGTTTCCAGAAAAAAAGTGTCTACACATTGATGGTCGATGTTAAGGACCTGATAGTAGATGTGAGCGCGTTCTGATTGGTCGGGCGTTGTTCGACGTTCTGGCGGCCGATTCCTCTCCAGCGCCCTCTCCCCGTTCTGCATTCCGAGCACGCGCAGTTCGCGGCTGCGAGGCCGTGCTTTGGCCGTGGGTTAGGGTTAGGGTAGTTGTGGGGTGAGCAACCTAGCCTCTCTCGCGTGAAGAACCTAGCCTTGCTACGTTCAAGATCGGTTAGTGCTAAAGAGTGTAGAGCCGGTCGCCCCGGTGGTCTCGTTGGTATCTGCGAAACCTTCTAGAGGTCAGGTCATGGGTTCGAGTCCCGGCGTAAGCGAGCTTTTTTTGCAAAGTGAGTTTTTCTCTCGCTTCCGCTCCTGGTCTAGTGGATAGCGCTAGTTCGTGTGTACACAGAGGGAAGAGCGTGCTGAACTCTTCTCGTATTAAGAATTGAAGGCAAAGTACCACAGGAGGAGGGTAGAGAGGGGCTCTTCTGTGTGACCACGGGTTGGAGTAAACGGCACTAGTGCTGTGAGCGCTGATTTGAAGTGAGTTACTATCAATGTGTAACCAAGGGCTCAGGGTGTTTGCGGACTGGTCTGAGGTCTTGGTCTTGTAAGTCGGAAGCAAGTTCAAAACCGAGACTGGAATTGTGTTTCAAAACTACAATGGAGCGTGATTTCTTCGGTCTTGAGCACGCGGAAATTCCCAAGAACGTTGCATTCAATACGACGGAGCCCCTTTGCCGGCGGCGGCAGACAGATGGTTGAGCCGACTAGGAACACCAAACATGTGTATTTCCGAGGTTTCGCCTCCTCCACCTTAACCCAACAAGGAAGGCTACTAATACCCTAACCCAGCTAACTAAGTAGATGAATAATTGTTCTAAAAGACAAACCTGAGCAAGACAAAATCGGAGCTTTTGTCGGATCTTTGGGGGCAATCCGCGAAAGCAAAAGACCAGATTTCAAAAGATCCATCGGACTTCGGCGCTCGGGGATAAAAAAAAGACCCAAGCCAAGACCAGATCAGATGTTAGCAAACACCGCATAATATTGCGGTATGGTGAGCAGTAAGGTTTCGTGGGCTAACTCATGACTAAGACGGCGAGGGTTCACCTGGGCGATCACGGGGTCGGGGATGGAAGTTCCCAGCGCTAGCTGGAGCACAAAGCCGGGTGGGTCAGTTTTCGTCTTGACCGCATGGTTGAACGCGCCCGGGATCAGGCGCCCCCCCCAGGACGTTGTCGTCGTCCAGCATATCGCCTGCAACGCCGCGTGAGCCCGGCTCGCTGATTTCGCCCTCCTCGTCGCTGCTGCCGGAGTTGTCGCTGTCGTCGTTGTTGTTGTCGTGGCTTTGGGCGGCTGGCTGAATCTTGTTCGGATTCGTCCCCGTTAGAGCTGCCTCCGCTCTTCTTTCTTTGTCGGAGCAGGGACTTTGGTCAGCACCTCTGCTGCCTCTGCCTGATGTTGTTCATCAGCAGCTGTCGCCGACGGGTCTGTAGCATTCTCCGCTGCTTGAGCTCGCAGTTTTTTCTTGGCTTTTTTTCTCTGGCTCGCAGTGGGAGCCGGGGTGAACCCGGCCGCACTCGCGGCCGCAGGGGCGGGAGAGTTAGCCTCCCTTTGTACTGATGTGTACCCGCGAACAGACTCTCGTCGAACCCCGATGAGAATACCCTCGCTCCGTTATGCGCAAAGGCCCCTGAAGTGGTGAACAACCGTTCCCAACGGAGGTAATTTCGCTCTTGTTGCGATGCGGCAGGGCTTTAAGCGTGGCTGACGTTAGTCTGCCTTGCTAGGGTGAAAGGTGAGAGTGAGCTTCAAGGGCTCGCTTCCACCCTTCGGCTGGTCACAGCAGACGAAGGGTCTTTTCGTTGTAAATCTTCAGACCTCGAGAAGGTCCTTCCGGGGGTCACAGATCTAGACTATACGGTTGTATGTGCGTCCCTACTACTGGGAAGATACCTAATATCCTGGTTTCCACAGCAGTGGCACCTGTTCTCATGTATCTACGCTGTAGGTATGCAGAGAAGCAGAGTCCTAACTGTAGTACAGTCAGTAAATGGATCTGCAGCAGCAGCCGTGTGATAAACAAGATATGCTCGCTCTGCATACAATGATAAGACTACAGCAGTGTATATACGATACGATCGATAAGACTGCAATGGTAGTTAGCAGTAGATTTGTTCCCCCGCCTGCCCGCACGTCTGACTCTCTCTGTTCATGGCAACACGCGCTGTGCCGATCACAAAATTATGTAGGGCTTCACCATCGACGGCCAGTTGGACGATGAGGACGTGGAGGAGAGCTACATCGACAAGTGTATCTTCGTCGAGGGCCAGGCAGCGCCCACCATGTTGACCCACCAGGGACTGGAGGTCGAGTCGGCCCTTATCGGGACTGTCATCGATGGCCTCAAGATCCAGAACTGCGGGTAAGCAGCTCAAATACATGCGCCCGAACTGTACATACGCAAATATCAACGCTAAGGTTGGCTCGTGTGTCTTGCTGCTCCTTGAACGTGATACTTAGATAGGAGCTGAAGACGTGCTGCTGTAGCCTGAGTGTAAAGATTGAATTACTGCTGCTGCACATGTAGGAGGAAATCGTTTGTGGGGCGGGACTGAATCGTAAAGTTGGTGTTTGGATTGAAATTTATTGCGGGCGGTTTCTCGTGATAAGAAGGACGAGCAGGGGCAGCATGAAATGCATACAGCATTGAACAGAGTTCACACCTGCGTCTGGGGTCGGATAGCAAGTTGACAACCCTACGTACAGAGAGAGGTCCACAATGTGACAGTTTTTTTGTTGAAACTACCCTAGAAACTACTGTTATACATACTTGTGTACTACAGTCAGTCTCGATCCCCGTTCCGAGACAAAACAGCAGCAGCAAAGCAGTAGTCGCCAGTTTTTCTCATGTGCGCTTACGGTACTTATGTGGTGGTAATATGTATGCATACGTACCAGTTGTACCAGTATGCTACGTAATTACAACACATTACCTTGATGTTTTTTGTCCCTTTCGAAGGATGGAGTGCATCCGCATGAGGAACTTCGTGACCAACGCGGTGATCCAGAACAACGACATCGAGAACTGCGGCATCTACGACTTCCGCTTTCAATTCGACGGAAAGATCGGCGAGGCTATCTACATCGGAACTTCAAGCAACCAATGGGAAGATGGCACGGGCGACAGGGTGACGAACGGCCCTGACGGAAGCAACTACAACCTGTGAGTTGCGACGTCTCGACTGACTACGCGAACCGTTGCCGCGTATTTTTCTCTTTTTTGGTTTAAGGGAACACAGAAAGGGTACAAAGTAGTGGTCTATTTGCAACGTAGTTTGCCTAGGGTGCCGATCTGGTCCTATTTTAAGGTGTGCCGTCATGGTGCGGGACGGTTCGCGATGGTTTTCTCATTCATCAGAAAGAAATGGTAGAAAATGGTTAAGCAAATAATAGAGGAAAAAACAAAACTGTTGATGAACGACGAAAGTCGTGGCCTGTATTTCGGTGTGTTGCTGATCGTTCCTGCCTGGTGAACTCCCAAAAAAACTCGACCAACAGGGTGACCGGAAACGAGCTCGTGCCTCGCGGCAACGAGTGCGTGGACATCAAGGAAGGCGCAACCATGAACGTCGTCGAGTACAACGAATGCGAGGACCAGCGGGACGCAGAGTCCGGGTGCTACGACTCGCGGGGAAACGAGAACACCTTCAGGTAGGATTTGTCGCTGCAGCATGCTGCTGTTGTAGATGCTACCACCGGAGAATACAAAGAAAATTTGTCGCTGCAGCATGCTGCTGATGTAGATGCTACCACCGGAGAATACAAAGAAAAATTTTCTCTTTGCCGCTCGTTGTTTTTTCCTCTTTTCGTAATGGTGAAGAACTATTTTCTTTCTCTCTAGTGAGTGATGCAAATCGTGCCTCACGCGTGCCCAACAAAAATACCTGCCACAAAACTTGGTTTTCTTTTCTTCTCCCGCAGGTACAACACTGCCATCCAATGCCTCGGTGCCGGCATCCGCCTGGGAGGGCACACTATCGACGGCTTCGTCTATGGCGTTGACAACCACGTGAGTTTATTCATGTAGTTTCTTGTCCCCCTTAGCTGTGACTTCTTAGCTTTGCTGGAGGTGTGGACGGACGTGCTGCCCCACAACCATTGATTTGCGGAGCCCGGTCGATTTCCGAGTCACAGCAGTGCGTGGAGTTTGTAACCCCTCTTTCGGCCACTTGTACCGTTTCGTCGCCCACGAGTCCTGCTCGCCCTTGGCCTCAATTTTGATGTATCCGGTGCTCAACTCTGTTCCGCCTCCCCTCCTCAGGTTTACGGCAACGAATTTTTGGAAACCGAGGCCGGCTCTATCAAGTCCCGTGTGGAACCGCAGGGCGTCATCTGCGACAACTCCTGCGCAGACGGGGAGTGCGGCGTCAGCGAGGAAGGGTAAGTTACTCACCTTGGAAAGCAAAACACCACCCTGAACGTTTTGCGATGTTCGCGCCGGCAGGCAGGCATGATCTTGCCTGCACATACATCCAGGCTGCAAGACAAGAAAAAGTTCCTTCACCGCGACGTGATCACACCATGCTGTCACGAAATGTTTCTGGAAGGTCATTACGCAATGCGCGGGTCAGTGCCTCGCCGCCAATCCCATGCACTCAACTCCATACCCCCCTCCCCTTGGTTGTATACGAAACCTCTACAGAGACGACGAAGAGATCGAAGGCTCGTGGGACCAGGGGTGCCCGGCTAGCTTTCCTTCCGTACCTTTCATCGACGACCTGGAGACTCCCGCCGCCCCGGCGCCTACGCCCGAAGTCGCCGCTTCTACCCCGTCTCCCACCGACTCCCAGAATGAGGTCGGCCCGACGATGAGTGAAGGTAGCGATGACGAATCCGAGACGACGAGTGTAGAGCCCACTTCTTCCTCTTCCTCTTCCTCTTCCTCTTCTTCCTCTTCCTCCTCTTCTTCCTCTTCCTCCTCCTCCTCCTCCTCCTCCTCCCCCTCGACTACGACGTGCAACGGTGTGCTGTCGGGAATGGGATACTACTGCTGCGCCGCTTCGTGCGGGGGGTGCGGCGGCGAGGGATGCAGCAAGCGCAGCGGAGGGGAGAACGGCTGCTGCACCAAGGCGATCCAGTTCGGCGGAGTGATGTGCGAGGATACCGGCGGGCAGGCACCGTGCATCATGGACGTGTACCAGGGGTAGTTTGAATCCCGCGCGGCGGAATCATCGGTGAAAAGGCCCCCATCATCACAAGCTAGGATACCGCACAACCACTTTTGACAGAAGAGTCTTTTCCGTTGGTGATGCGAGTGTTGCTGCTTTCGTGGAGTAGGCACAAGTGCTGGCCCTCTGCACCAAGTTCGTACTTTGGTTTCATGATGTGGTGGTGCAATTTTGTCGTCGTCTCCGGGGGTACGTGTTGCCATCTATCGTGGACGACGAGAATATTCGTAGCTTTTCGAACGTCGAGGAGTGATTTTGTGCAATTTTCGTCGGACGGTGGTGCCGATTGGGGATGTTGCTTGGATATGATGAGCGTTTTGGTGTGCATTTTTCCTTGCCCTCAAATGTCCACGGTGTGACTTAGTGTGACCGTTTCAGCCCGCCCACACTTTCGTACAGCACGATGTTGGTATTGCGTACAATGAAACCGGTTTTTAAGTTTTCGTTTTGGTTGAAAAGGTTTGTTTCCGTGGTATTGAAGGTTTTGAGCGAGGGTGTTTGTATTGTTTCTCCCCGGCTGCGAAGTCGGCTTCCAGCTTCACATGAACTCGCGATACAAGCAACAGCAGCAGTGAAAACCTTTTGTGCTATTGGATGGATGTGGTAGACAAGACAAGCAGAGATCCGGTTGGTTACGTGTGAAGAAACACCGTACGCAATGGTGTAGGAAGGGCGGTAGAATTGATATTGCGGGTTGGTCGGTGTATGGATGTATGTATGTGCGTACGTGAATCCGTGGTGACTACATATGTGCCATGAATCTGTGGTGATTTGTTTTGTGCGAGAGATGTGGAGTAGACTAAGTACCACGTGTCGTAAAAACTTGTTCATCGGTGTTGTTTTGATGTTTGTGGTCTTTCGTGTCACGTCGTCATGTAGTAGTTGGATGTTTCGGTTAGCTTTTCTTGTGTTTCAAGTAGATGGTTGATCTACCTACTGGGCGAACTTTTATAATAAGCTCGTCTTGGTACATACTACCTCGGTTCCTCTCGCGGCTGCCTCTTCGTTTTTTTTGTGGTCTCCTACACGAACAGCAGCATTATACAACAGTAGTAATAGTATAGAAGTAGAAGATTTTAAACACGGTTGGTTGTTGGTCCGACACCCATTAAAATATTTCTTTCTGTTTTTTTGGGGTAGTTGAGTCGCGACGATTGGTGTTCGAAGAGGGCGGAAAAACTACGTTTTTTGTGTGCTCTCCTCTCGAATGATGACTTATTGTATGCTCAACAAGGGGATTGATTGCCACGCGCTGTACAATCTGGACCCACCCGTGATCCGATGAAGAACTCACTTGAAAATGTCTCTTGTGAAACATCAGCAGAGCGGTGCGTGCTGTGCTCTGGCTGTGAGGCAGAATGAAGAAGAGCAGGTGGGGGCGGACTGCTCCCTGTAATAGAGGGGTTGCGAAGGTCTCTGTCCCCTGGCTTATCCTTCAATTGGGAGAATTGTGTACCTCCTGCACTTCTTCCTTTTTCTGGGAATTGGCCCGCACTACTGCCACCTGTGGCACTTCATATTCAAATCCCATAATACTAGCTTGCCCACCTGCCTGGAGACTTACTACGCAGATACTTGAAAAAATCTGAACTTGACGAAAATGATCGTCGGATTAAAAAAATGCAGTCTTGGTCCCTATGTGTCTATAGAGCAGCACCGATTTACGGCACTCACTCACTAATCGCCACACCGGTTTCTTCTTCGTCGCGCTCCGACAACAGATGGCCGTGCTTGACAGGCACCATTCTCCAGAGAGTTGGACGAGAGGTAGTAAAGGAACATGACACAACACATTTCACAACAGATATATATGTATGTATGTATGTATGTATGTATGTATACTAAAAACACTTGTACACACACATAATCCCGGACTCGGAATCATAGCGAACGAACGGTGATAGGGCCTTCGTCATCAGAGGATCATGGAGGAGATGGCGGAGAAGGAGTACCGGGAGATGGGCGAAGTAGCGAGTGAGCGTCGGCGAAGCCGCGGAAGACGGCGGCGGCTGAGTGCCGGCTGAATTGGGCACCAAAACATTGTCAGTACACGAGCAGCGCGCGAGCCCCCGTATGACGAAGCTAAACAGAAGGAAAGTTGCAGTTAACACCGACGACACTTTTGGGGGAACTCTTTTGTATGCATCCAGAGGCAAACAAGTCCGACGAAACTCGGGGAAGTCTTTGCCCAAGTACTCAGAGGCGATCAACACCGACGAAACTTGGGGAACTATTTTCCCCAAGTAAGTCTTGAGAGGAAAGCGGCAACTCGAGGAACGAACGCAATACGAAGTCGACAGGCAAACGACCCTCCGACGTCAACCAGACCGAACAAAACCAAAGCGAACCCAATCGTCGCGAAAACCAAGCGTTAATGGCGTGAAGTACCGACGGCGGTCAGAACCAGCCCTGATAGGCGTCAAAGGAAGAGGGCAACAACAAGACACAACGAAAGCAAGGGAGAGTCGCGGCAATCCACGGCTGGACGCAGGCAACAAAGTACACGACATCTCGCTAGTCCAGGAAATAAAATCCAGTCCACCCCCAAACCGCGCACACACGAGAAGCTGTCCACCGACGACGCGACTGCAACAACAAAACAAAACAAAACGACTGGAACCCGAGCGGAGAAAGCCTAACTGAAGACAAAATAACGGGGAAGAACCAAAAAAGGCGGGGGCGCTCACAGGAGGAGGACCAGGTCGACGCAATAAAAGCCAAAGCCAACACAAACAACGAAGAGGTCGTAGACAAAAATTACTCTTGACCGTTCGTTGTTGTTTCCTCATCTTGCCGTCAAGACTTCTTGTGGTGGTGTTTTTTTAGTCCGCTGTTGTTGCTTGTTTCCCTTCTCGGGTCAGGTGTGTAGTGGGTGGCATTTTATCTTTTTCAGGGGGGGGGGGGGGGTGACATGGCAAGGCCTCCTATAATCTAATGGAACACAAAAAAAATGTGGGGGGGGGTTTTCTTTTAAAGGGCAAGAAAGTGGCTGGGCGTTTTTTTTTTTTTCTTGCTGCCCCCCCCCCCCCCCTCAAAAAAA